AACAACAACAACTACTACGCTTGTTTTTTCTTCTTTTTTTTTCACTTCCTCTCCAGAAGGTATCCGGCTCAAGTCAGCTTATCAGATTTTTTAATCCTATCTTTCGGGTAGCTGGTTCGAATCCAATCTAGTGGGCTCTTCGTTCTGTGTTCAAATTTCAGAAGGAATACTTGTAGGTGTTTATGGTTCCTATACATCGACATACATTTCTGTATTTTTCCTGTCTGCACGTCCGGATACCTTCTGACTGAGGCAATTTGGTTATCACAATCCCTTACAGATGGGGAGGGGAGAGAGGGGGGGGGGGGGGGGGGGGGGGAGTTGGGTTCTTAGCAGATTTTTTAATCCTATCTTTCGGGTGGCTGGTTTGAATCCAATCTAGTGGGCTCTTTGTTCTGTGTTCAAATTTCAGAAGGAATATTACGGTGTTGCACGTCCGGATACCTTCTGACTGAGGTAGTTTTTTTTTTTTTTTTTTTTCCGGGAGTTTGGTTATCACAATCCCTCACAAACAAGATATGTACGTACGTACTATGTAGGTCTTTGGGCCTCGCTGCACGGCACACGAAACGAAAAACGAAACGAATGTATCTTCCCCAAGAAAATGACCAGGTTCATCGGTTTGCTATAAATAGTAACGAGTGTATTTTGCCACCTTTGGTGGGCAGATGCACTCATTTCGTTTTCGTTTCGTGTGCCGTGCGGCGAGACCCTTACTGTTTTTGCTGTAAATGTTTACACGGCTACGGAGAGTACAACCGTCTGCACCCGACCACAACGTACAGTCATTATAGATGTATTTGGGGCGACTCGCCGACCAGATGCAGCGACAACGACCGGACATTTTGTTCGGGTGAAGACGGTAGTACTGGGTGGTCTGTGGAGGGCCAGTTTTTGTGGAGGTGGTGGTGTACAGGGGTGGTATTCAAAAGCTTAGGATATATATATATATATTTTTAGAATTTTTAAAAGTCTAAAAAAATCCCTGAAAGTCGCGGCCGGAGCCGCGGCGGCCGTGATCACGGCCGCCCTCCGAGCTCGACCCTGCGGACGCGTCCGCGGGTGTTTCATAGCTGCATATCCTTTCGCCACTAGACTGTACAGTTTTTGTCTTTTGCTGATTAGGAAGTCCTCCGTTGGAGGTATTGGGGAGAGGTAGATGAGTTTTTCCTCTTCATTTATCTAAGCTTGCAGCAGTTGAAGATTTTTTGTGTACACTGATGAAGGCCCTGTTTCTTCCTTGTGTCCCTATTGACTATCTCCACCTGCGGAGGATAAGGGTTGTTTCTCAGTTTCCTCTACATT